GGAGTTTATTTTCAAAATAATTATAACCTGTCTCTTATACACATCTAGATGTGTATAAGAGACAGGTATTACGAAGTCCGGGCCATCCAAAGTGGTTTTTTTGTGTAATTTCTGTGGCAACATTTTTTTCAAGATAGGTTTTCCTTAAAGGCTAGCAAGGCTTTAGTCAAAAAAACTTAATGTTGGTGCGTAATCAGAATGATCCTATCACGATCATTTTAGAAAGTTGTCATTTTTATATTTAGGCCTATAAAACTGCATTTTGAATTCTAAGATTGCATTACCGGCCACCTAGAAAATCCCAAATCCTGAAATTGTTCCACTCAGTGCCAACCATAGTAAGAGGCGGATCCAGAGATATGTCCAAAAAGAACTTTTAAAATGAAAACCGTTACATAATATCAGTGATTATAAATATAAAAATGAATTTATTTTTAGTTTTAGGATTCATGACTGTACTTGTAGGTATTAGATACCTTTTCTTTTTCTTTTTTTTTTTCTTTTTTTTTTTTTTTTATAGATTTATTGAGAACAAATTTATTGATGGGGATATTTAAGTAATTTTTAGTGTTCTAAAGCTTGAGACCCGAAAACTGAATATTTGTATTGAAAAGACCACGGTTTGTGTATAATTTCGTTTAGGGTTTATGTATTAAGTCTAATAATCCGTATTTTAACTAAACAATTCGGGAATTAAATTAAGGGAGGCTCTACGCGCCTTACAATTAAGGACGGCTTCAACCCCCTCCCCATGCCCCTAGCCTGTTACATGCCTATTCAATTAAAACAAAAATATATTTTCCATTCGGACAAAATTGTACATTTCAGTTATTGGATTGATGAAATATTTTACGCAATATAAGTGAGCTGCAGAGAAATGTCAATTGGTTTGTCTTTGCCATTGTTAGACAAAATTCGAATGTTTTTGTTTTTCTTTTTCTTTCAGAGAACTTAATTATTGGCAGGAAAATTTTAACATTTGTTAACTCCATTGATGATATCTATATAATTCAGGATTTTAAGTGTAAACAATTTGCCCTTATAATCCACGAATTGATTCCACATGTTCATGCACGTTACACAATCCAAATAATACGAGCATTTTTATTTACTGATTTAAGATCTAAATATAACACGGTTGTATTTATTAAAATCTGATTTGTGTGGTGTGTTTGTATAATTTACGTAAACATATAGTGTGGTTTTATAATTCAAATTTGATGTTTCATAATCTTGTTTAATTTGGTTGTGTGTATGTGATTTTTGGATTCTGTGGTGTAAATTGTCCTGTAATTTTAAGACTATTTTTCATTGAGGACTATTTGTACATTTTATCACATTTCAGCTTTGTGCTGCGATGACATTTTGATTTTCTGAAATAAAGATACTTTGATATATCACTCAGATTCTAACACTAAAACACAGATATAATATCATCAGATCAGTGGTGTACAACATATAGACCAAAAAACTCACTTAACAGAGGCTAAAACTAATTTCCCCATGGTCAGTAGCAATAGCATATATACCATGCTAGCAATAATCCCTTAATATCATGTTACCGTAGGTATTACGTAACACAGTGCACAGCTACAAGGTTATAACGTGGAGTACAGTACTTCAACTACCAAAATAAGCAACTCATAGATAACCACAAAATTTACTTTTGTTAAGTATCAAATGAAATAACTTTACATGTTTATAAACAGTACAAATAAACAATAGTTAACGCATGTTGATAATTGTGTGTTTAAATGACAAGTTCATGTATGGGAAAAGGGAGAGGCTTGCTTTCTCACAAACTTAGCAATAAATGTTCTGCTTAGAGTTACGGTACTTCAAAGAAGTATTTTGTTAATTAAATATTGCTTTTAGTAAACTGAATAATTAAGAATACATTTATTTAAGCAAGTTATTTAATTGCATATTTGGTTTTTACTCCCGCCAACTAAATCCAACTGGCTCAGAAACCGATATTTTTTTGTTGTTGTCAATTTATTATTTTCAAAACTATACTAAATAATGTAAACTGAGATGTACTATATATACATAGTTATGTGAATATGGCAATTATACTAAGAATTAAAATGGCGTGTAATTGTGAGGGTAGGGTAATTATGGTACGATTATAATGGTATTGCCTATCCCATAAACATCCAAATTAACACACTGTAGAAAACCAAGCAATTCAATTCTGATTGACTCACTTAGTATATTATCAATAGAAAAATTAAAATACATTAAAATTAAATACATTTATAACCTATTTTCTAGTAACCTATATTATCAATCCAAATAATACGAGCATTTTTATTTACTGATTTAAGATCTGAATATCCACGGTTGCATTTATTAAAATCTGATTTGTGGCGTGTTCGTATAATTTACGTAACATAGTAATGACAAAATCACTCAGATTTTAACACTAAAACACAGATAGGCCTATAATATTATCAGATCATTTAACACAGTCATATTTTAAACAGGAGAGGCTATAAACTAATTCCATGGTCAGTATCAATAGATATACCATTCTAGCAATATTCCCTTAATATCATGTTACCGTAGGTATTACGTAACACAGTGCACAGCTACAAGGTTATAACGCGGAGAAACGATACATCATTCCTCCATGAATACACAGTTTACATAAGGCTAAATGTACTGGCATCCATTGAATATATAGGCCCAACACGCTACGTATCCTATGGAATATTAATTATTTGATTTCCCTAATAATAGAAGAAATAATAATAATAATAATAATAATAATAATAATAATAATAATAATAATAATAATAATAATAATAATAATAATAATAATAAGAGTGGTGATTAATAATAATAGTACATAAACGATCCTCAACAGTAGGTCTTAAAATTTAGCCTACCGATTTTCATAACAGGATTATTTATTTACTTTAGGAACATAAGTATACCTAAGCTACGTACTCCTCGGGCACACACTGTGGTACTTCCAACTTGATAAAAATACCAAGAAACAGGTTGATTTCACGTGAAAAAAACAACAAAATGGAATTAAAGAAGCACACGTCTACACAAGAACTAACAAAATGTACGCAGACAAAACTGAGGCATAGGCCTATACACTATTAAAATACAATTAACATAATATCAATTAAATAATTAATACCATTGAAATTACCTAAAGCAGAAGAGTAACGTACTAAATGTGTACTTTTTTATAAGAACAATGAGGCTGAATTTTATGCTTAATAAAGAACAATACAAGAACAAATTGAAGCTGATGTAAAATGTGAAATGATATTTTTATTTTAGAAAACTAGAAAAAATAAAATATTATATCTGTACCTTGTGCAGTAGGTGTGACAAATATCCTTTATAATGCAGACAGTAGGTGTACCACCTGTCATTTGGGGTAATTTTTACAGGGCCTTTTGGGACCAATTATACCTACACTCCAAATAATACTTTTCTATGTTTCCACTTCCTTGTTTGAAAAGTTTATAAAATATATAAGAACATTTTGAACTTGATTCGGCCCAAAAATAAAAACACTGAGTTTGGGTATATTTTTACTGGAAAACAAAAAACAGAAGTTTAATATTATTTTAATGATATAGGTATTGCTATTTATACCTCCATGGTTTAACAGCGATACTTTCCAATACTCATTGTGCATTGTTTATCTTGTGTGGGCCCATCCCGTTTTTACGCTAATCCCCACATTATCGTTTAATAAAGAATACTGTGTTTGTAAGTTTTTTGGCGTCGCTCAATTAAACCATGGAGGTCACTATAATACCTCCATGATGAACAATCAAAATTCTAACAATTAAGTGCAAAAACCTTATGCTAGGGAGACAAATTTGTACACTTTTACATATGTGCATGAAAAAGTTTATGGAAAATAACATGCAATTTTTAATTTTTAAATTTTCATGACCAATTATAATGCAATGATGGATATAAAAATACTGTATATTTGTAAATATGTATCCAAGTACAGTATTTTAGTGTTGTTGGGTTTCACAAATGTCTGTGCTTAATCATGTGTATAGATAAATAGGTATAATTATTTCCGGAAGAGAGGCGAACACCCATTCGTGTATTAAGTCTATAATAGTCTATAATTTAACTATTAAAACAATTGAGAGTAAAGAGATTTTCATTATATTTCAAAAGTATAATAAATATTAGGTTTCTAAAAGCATGTTTTTAAGTTATGGATTCTATTTTCTTGAGTGTTTTTTAAATTACCCTAACGATCAACAGGGCAATTTTATTGTTTTTTTAACTGTATTTATTAAATCAGTGGAAAACGATACATCATAATTGCTGTAGGTTTTCACCAACGCCAAGTTAGGGATTATTTCAATATTTGTTTTACTGTATACATTCTTAAATCGGCCTGTATACAGAAAGGTTTCTGACAATTCCATATAGTTACATAGGATAACGCCACATGGAAGCCTATCAAGGCCATAGGCTTGCTAACATTCCTAATGATGACATAATTAATGTCGGAATATTGAATCCCGACACGATGGCGTGTATATCGACACTTGAACTCTGAACTATACTATCTTATCTGAGATTAATCAGTGGACCTTTCGGTTTTTGCTAATGTAGACCGTGTCGCTATTGATTTAATGTGGTAAAAATTGATATACCATTATCATTATTGATTATTTCAATTAAATTTGATGATGTGTGTTATACATACAGTGTTGTATTCACGCTAATTCTTTAACTTTTACTTTAACTCCGAGGCTGTTTTCACTATGTTAATTGTTTATTACATATTTTTCTTCTCTCACGTCTTTTTTTTTTATTGCGAATAGGTCGTGGTTTGCGAATATGCCATAGTTATTTTCTGGGCAATATTTTTCCCCTGAAGTAGTACTGAATATGCTAAATGTTTGTTTAAAGCGTAATTCGAATTTTAAACGAATAACGCCGTGCTAGCTACTGGTTCAATCAATCATACAAAATAATTAACCTAACAATGAAATTAACGTATTCTATGCTTATTTCTTGTACAGATCACATCTCATTTTGTGCTTTTGTTTGTATGTAATTGTATTTTGTTTTCTATTTTATTAATATTATTATGGACGCACTACTATTTTGTGTGTGCCTTTAAAAAAGTAAGAGCCAAATAAAAAATGGAACTAGACTAAAGACATTGTTGAGTTGCACGATTATCCCCATTTAAAAAATGGAAGCGCCCATTGTTTGGTCATGCCTAATAATTTGACAGATCACGCGCCAACTTTCATTCGAGTTTTGACAGCGTGAACGGTAGCAATCGATTTTTTAACTCCATCATCTTATCGCCAAATGTTTGACATGGACAAGTACGTCCTACTTGATTTCGTGGATGAGGAGACAGTTGACGTTGCCGAAACGGCGTGGCTGGAAATCGATGAAGACGAATTTGAAGACATGGATGCGTTGATTGGAAAGACCGTTGTGTGCAACTGGCAGGAAAAGAAAAGGGGCCAACCAACGCAAATGACACGGTGCTCAGCACGAGTTCTATGCTTTGGGGGTAAGATACATTTACCTTTTTATAATTCTAAAGTGTTTTAAGTTTTTAAAATTGGTAAAACAAAATAGAGTCAATTATTGTTTGATTTTTTTTTAGTTATTTATTTATTTATTGTTTTGTTTTACGTAGTGGTTGCATTTATTTAGAGTTAGAGGAGTACACTGCTGTAACTCCAAATCATTATACTGTACTATTATTATCTATCATTGTGCGCGTGCTCAGTTCATTGTTCATCAACATGCTTTAAAAAGAACTGAACCTACTGTCTAACAACCAAGTTTCTTGTTTTGCTTTTTGTTTTAGATTATTTTCAATAAATAAATTTAGATACATTTTGTGTTACGTAGGCCTATATAAAAGCGTCTGCTAATCGATAAAATACATTTTAAAAATTCAAAACAAGAACCACGATCTTTTGCTATGTCTTCGGTATAAACGTCTTGACTCTGATCGTAGGTTCCGCTGAACTGATGTATAAAATGCTGTCGCAGAGTACAATGAACTGAGCATGTGCAAAAATTATGACGTAAATATGAAATAATGATTGGAGTTGGAGTTTCTCTCAGAGCGAGTTCGTTGTATACCGTATTTAAGTCTTAAACTATGTTTTTACTTGTGCATTCATTGTCATCTTAGAAAATTAACTACGAAGTGTTTTTACCTTTTCATTTATACTCCTTCCGCGCATACTTTAAAGATTAAAAATGTTCCTCGAACTCCGAATAGATGCAGTAAAGACGTTTTTTTCCCCCGAATAGGCTTTGATTTAAGATTTGGGACTTGTAATTCCAATTAAAAGCCAGCTAGCTGTATTACTGAAATTTAAACGTCTAATGCGTGCACGTAATTGTATTCATAAACTACGTCTTTTGTAACTAATAACATGAAGTATGGGCGTCGTCGCATTTCCAAAAATAAGGATGTTTATACAAAAAATATTATGTGACTTATATTAACAATAGGCCTTTTGTCATGTAGATACTTAAAACTAATAAGTGTGTTTCGTTTATAAATAAAATCAGTACTAACACCCATCACATCGATGGATGGAACATCCAAAATAATTAATAAAGAAAGACACTTAAAAATATATCTTTTAAAACCCCTATAGGCCTATTAAATTTAAATTTTGAAGCAAGAAAACAAAGCAATTTTAAGCAACTGATCTCTATACCGAAAGGTCCACTGATTAATCTCAGATAAGAAAGTATAATACATACTCCAAGTATTGAAATACACGCCATCGTGTTGGGATTCAATATTTCGACATTAATTATGTCATCATCAGGAATGATCTCTATACCTACTAGTGTTGCCAAAAGAGGGCGCCATTTAAACAGCACTTTATACGTAAAGATCTTATAAACACAAGAAATTAACTGTAATTGAGAGAGGGCGTCTTGGTTGTTACTGTGGTGGTTGTTCCAGAATCACTTGAATCATAAATTGTAAAAAGGCTTCCTACACTGTTAATGCCCGAAATTCGGGATCTGAAGCGGCCCATGCACCGGTCATACCTACTCTTAAATATTCCCTGTCTCTTATACACATCTAGATGTGTATAAGAGACAGGGTTTGCCTTAATCAGTGCAAACATACCATACAAAAATCTAATACCAATTTGACCATTAATATTAATATATGACTGGTTATAAAATTACAAAACCAATAAAATATGTTGATATACAAAAATAGTTCAACAATATTATATAACATAAATATCATACCTTTAACATCGACTACTGCAATTTCAGGTGTACCGTTATTTGCTGGCTGGCCAGACCTTGCTAAATCTGTTTCTTCGATATTCTTCACAGGTTGTCCATTATCCCCATCTTTATCTTCTTTTACTTTACCATCTTCATTGATGGATTGCTTCACATCATCTTGATTTATTTGGACATCACCTTCATCAGCAGTAGTTGCAATCTCTGGTTGCTCAAGCACACCCTCAGTGTCCACCATTGCATGTTCCTGTCTCTTATACACATCTAGATGTGTATAAGAGACAGATATACACATATACATATATACATAAAAAGTGTGTGTGTATGTAGTATAACATTTAAAATAACAGTTACATACAGTCATTTATTTTGATTGATTTGTATTTTTAACCGCTTTTAACGGGTAAATAATTTCATCTACGTTTACTAGTTCAATAATTAAGCTTTAAACTTTTTTCCCCAGATGATAGGAAAAGACTTGTCAATAAACGAGAGCAGTACATATCAACTGGCACGCTGAACCGCACATTAGAGACGGGGAAAGGGAGCCGGGTCAGGAAGCCCAACCCGAGGTTTGTCGACTCGGATGATACTGATGCTGAGGATGAGGAGGTACTTTTTTTTAATTATCAGCTTATTATTTACATACCATACATTTTACTTTATTGTTTAATCCCTGATCAATTTAAAATTATCATTTAATTACTTCAAAATACATCGAAGTACACAAATAATTACAATAATATATTAACTAATAATAAATAATAATAATAATAATAATAATAATAATAATAATATAATATTAATAACAATAATAACAATTATAATGATAAAGATACATGTAATATTGTCAATGTGTGAAAGTTAGGGGTTAATCAGTTTGGTAGTTTCTTCAGTTATGCTCTCTCTATCTCTTCTTTCCCTCTCTCTCGTGGGTGCGAGAATAATAATAATAATAATAATAATAATAATAGGAATTATAATTATAATAATAAATGATACTTCTTTACATAATACTGTAATGTACTTTTCATTACCAAGTTCGCACTAAGAGTAGGACACGTGGATTAAAAAATATATTAATTCTTTGTAAAGGAAGTAGCAGAAGAGACTGAGAAAAACAAGAAAAGGTCTGTGACCAAGTCGGCGAACCAGCTCCGAGAAATCTTGCAATCGAAGTCACAGGTAATAAATGCTATAATAATTTTAAATTATAAAAAATAAGCTATTAACTTTTGTTTATATTATATTATATATATATATATATATATATATATTTTTTTTTAACTTTATAAGTATTAAAGGTCTCTTTGCGCTGCAAATAAAATAAGTAGCAGATTCTTGTGACAGATTTTATTTATGTTAAGTAACCTGTACACTTCGTTTTTATCTGGATGTTGCGTTTGATCGTCAAACGACATGAAAGGCTTTAAAAATAATATAACAAAAATTAAATCAATAAATCATATTCATTTTTTATGATGGTAATGGTAATAAAACAACGTTTAATGAGTGTATGCATGACTCAGTATAGTGCTTACCACATTATTACAATTTTTTTGTTTTGTTTTAGGACACTGCACTCCTTGCAGAGAATCTGCAGTTAAAGGAAAAGATAAAGACATTAGAGAAACTTGCAGAGCGCCTAACGCAAACAATATCGTGCATGGACCGTAAGTGCTTTATGTATTTTGGATTCAGTACATTACTCTTTACATACTTGTCTGCTGGGCCGGGTCTTGAATCTGCCCTAGAATACAAGAGGCAGGCCAAACACTCAGCTCTGTATGTGTGCATGTGTCTACTGTATCATTTCTATTTCAAATTACATATAGCTATGTATTAAATAATAAAAAATAGCCCCATGTTTGTTTTTTTTTTAGCAATGTGCAGTAGCCTACCATTTAGTATAATCGGCCTGCTGCAAAATGTAACTGTACTCTTAAACACATGTTCAAGCCTACCACACTCTACCTGTAATATTTTAAGCTCTTTATTACAATGATTTAAATGCTAACGTTTTCCTCAAATTTATTTAAAATTTCCAGATCTGCCGAAGCTTCTTGAAAGGATGAAGCAGGCCCCTCAAGCACAGGCCCCTCAAGCACAGGTGTCTATCGAACAGCAGAATGACGGATCCTCCACTGACGAAGTACGTAACAACATCCTTACATTTTTTGTGTTGATATTTGTATACTTATTAATTTTCATCCCAAACCCCAGAGGAAAATTGCCAATTATAAATGATTGATTAAGTAGTAATGTGGTAAAATATGATTTAATTTTTCGTCGTGCCTAGTATGATACAAAATTATTTGTGTACCTAAAATTTAAAAATATTTA